TTCTTCCACTGCTGTGAAAATTAATCCTTCATAGAGAATACAAAAGTTTGTAGATCTCAGACTATAAAGTCTTCCTCTTGCTTGAAATCAGTTTTGCCGGAATATCATCAGTATCTTGTAATCCTTTAGAATTTCCATAGGAAATTAAACTTAATTAAAACTAAAATTGGGGACCGTATTTCAGCCTGCTTAAACTCGTTAATAACAAGCTCATTTAATACATGGTTAAGCTAATACCTCTAACTATTCAAAATACTGAGAGCCTATGCGGCTAAACTATTAGATTCATCCGCTAACAAAGTGGTATTAGACTGGTACCAAGATGAAAACCAAAATGGATTCCAGCATATCCCTACCTGTACATATTTCACATGCATCTTAATACTTAGATTCCAGCAAAACATAAAATCCCGTATCGCACTTGATTATCAGAGGGAATCAGATTCGAACCTACAAACTTTTAATATGGAACTATATTCAAGGTTTATGAGTAACTTCTTTGCTTCTTACTTTATTTAACAACGCTTAGTCAAGATAAACGTGAATGCTGAATAGGGAGGGATATGAAAGAACTAAAGATGTCATAGTGTCTCTGTACCACGGCAGGAAGACGTATGGGAGACTGGAGGCAAAGATCCACCCATTCTTAACTCTAACACTGGGTTGAGGTAAGAGATTGCCTTCGCGATCCAGTAGCTCTACCCCGGTGAAAAAAGTCCAAGGTACGCAACGTAGAGGAGGCTGTGTCTGTTCGCGATGAACGACAGAAAAATACCTCCCTCCAGGGAATTGAAGCCTGGCAGTCTAGGCTGAGCCGTGCCAATTCAAAGATACATACAAAGTTGCAGAAAGCGTACTACACGCTACAGACTGCAATATCAACACGAAATGCTTGATGGAGACTGAAGTCTTCGAACATACAATGGATATTTTTTTATCGTGCCGTTTTCTTCCCCTCGAGTTCTTTCTATTTCCTTCTTGTGCTCTACTTTTCCTCACATCAAATGATTAATTTCTTTCTACTCTTTTCCTGCTGTGAACATCCAGCAAGCACTGCCCTTTACCGGCAAATAAATCGAACAAGACATTCTTATCAGTTAGATGTCTGGTCCAGTGTGTGCATGAAGATGAAATCCTGGAGCTCTACAATAACGCGATATCGACCCAGTGGGGAGAAGCTTACGACCGGGCAAGGAATGCGACCTGGTGCCAGTAGGCATTGCGCCCGG